CAAGATGCCGATTGCTACCAATTCGCCGCCGAGTAGTCATGCTTTCAATTGTCCCCCCGGAAAATATACCACGCAAACCTGAACGATGCGATCGCAACATACAGATATGTATGTTTGTGTAAGTCTATATATATATATATATATATATATGTGTTAAAGAGCGTGGTCTACCGCTGCTAGCGGAAACCGAGGGGGGGGTCACTGGGGGTTCCCAATCCCCCCCCCCCCCCGAAAACTGGGGGGGGTCACTACCGGTTCGACCCCCCCCCCGCCCCTTCGAAAACCGGGCGGGGTCACTACCGGTTCGAACCCCCCTCCCCTCGCCGATGGCAAACGATTCCCGCTCTTCGGGGCAGATGGACAGTGGTGGGGATACTGGGACAGTGGTGGGGACGTTGGTGGTGGGGACAGTGGTGTGGGGACAGTGTGACAGTGGTGCGGACAGAGGTGGGGACGGTGGTGGTGGGAACAGTGGTGAGGCGACAGAGGGACAGTGGTGGGGACAGTGGGACAGTGGTGGGGACGGTAGTGGTGGGGACAGTGGTGAAGGCGGTGGTGAGGACGGTGGTGGCACAGTAGTTCAGTGGGGAGAGTGGTGGGGACAGTGGGGATAGTGGGACAGCACAGTGGAACAGCGGCGGGGACCGTGGGGACAGTGGGACACTGGTGGGAACAGTGGGGCCAGTGGGACAATGGTGGGGACCGTGGGGAAAGTGGGGAGAGCGGGACCGTGGTGGGACAACGGTGGGGAGAGTGGGGACAATGAGACACTGGTGAGGGCACTGGTGGGGACAGCGGGAACATGGGTGGGAACAGTGGGGACAGTGGGACAGTGGTGGGGACTGTGGGACAGTGGTGGGGACGGTGGTGGTGGGGACAGTGGTGTGGGGATAGTGGGAATGTAGTGGGGACATTGGTGGTGGGGACATTGGTGAGGGTGGTGGCGAGGACGGTGGTGGGACAATGGGACAGAGGTACAGTGGGAACAGTGGTGGGGACAGCGGCAGGGACAGTGGGACAGTGGGGACAGTGGGTCAGTGGTTGGGACCGTGGGGAAAGTGGGGAGAGTGGGACAGTGGTTGGAACAGTGGTGGGGACAGTGGGGACAGTGCGACAGTGGTGGGGTCACTGGTGGGGGCAGTGGGGACGGTGGTGAGAACAGCGGGGACAGTGGCGCTGGGGACAGCAGTGGGGGATCCGGGATGTGGTGCGGGCGGTGGTGGGGACCCGGGAGTCGTTTGCTGGCGGTGAGTGGGGGGGGGGCGGGGGTTCGAACCGGTAGTGACCCCCCCCGGTTTTCTGGAGGGGGGGGGGTTCGAACCAGTAGTGACCCCCCCTGGTTTTCTGGAGGGGGGGGGGTGCCGGGAGGGGTTCGAACCGGTAGTGACCCCCCTTCGGTTTTCTGGAGGGGGGGGGAGGGGTTCGAACCGGTAGTGACCCCCTCCGGTTTTTTTCCGGAGGAGGGGAAGGGGGAGGGGGGGGTTAGGGAGAAGGGAGGGTTTTGCCGGGAGGAGGGGGGGGGAGGGTTCCAGCAGGGGGGGGGGGAGACTTTCGGACGGGGGGAGGAACCCCCGGGCTCCGGAGGAAGAGGGGGGGAGTTTTCTTTAGTAAAGCGGCAGTGGATCACGCCCTCTCATATACGTGTGTGTATATATATATATATATATATATATATATATGTGTGTGTGTTCCTCTTCGTATATTTTTGATGTTTGCAAGCCCGGGGGGGGGAAACCATCACCCCCCCCCCCAAAAAAAAAATTGATCCCCGGGATCTGGGGTTCTCGGGCTCCCTTGGACGTCCTTGGAAAAGGTCACCCGGCTTTCTGGGTCTCCACAAACGCCTTGCCAGCAGACCCAGAGCGATCAGAGGGGTCATCAGGAAGGCTCAAGGGAGGCCCCAGACAGCACAAGAGCGCTCCAAGAGGGACTCCAATTTCTTCCGGACGGCCCAAAAGACCCCAAGGCACCCCAAAAAGCTTTCCAAGGGGCCTTCAAAACACAAAAATCGTCGCATTCCCTTCGTAAAACTTACAATTTTTGCTTATTCGCCTTTCGGATTTCATCAGCTTTCAAGACGGCTTCAAAGCCCCCGAGATCGCCTCAAGACGCCCCAAAAGGCCCCCAAGAAAGCTTCAAGACGGCCGAGCCGGGCCCCACGATCGCCCAAGAGAGCCCTAAGACAGCCCATAATGGACCCAAGAGGCCCCCCAAGGTCTCCCAGCACAGACCCACAAGGGCCATGGGAGGTCCCCGGAAGTGCCCAAGATGGGCCCAAAGGGGGCTCCAGCGGGCCCAAGCTCTCCAAGACGGCCCAAGAAGGCCCCAGGACGGCCCATGAAGGCGCCAAAACTGCCCACGAGGACCCCGAAAACACCAGTTCGTTGTCGTCGTCGCCGTCGCTGCCGTCGTCGTCGTCGTCGTCGTCGTCGTCGTCGTCGTCGTCGTCGTCGTCTTCGTCGTCGTCGTCGTCGTCGTCCTCGTGGCCTGGAGGGGCGCCCCGGGAGGGCGCCAGCCGTCCACACGTCGTCGTCGTCGTCGTCGTCGCTGTCGTCGTCGTCGTCGTCGTCGTCGTCGTCGTCGTCGTCGTCGTCGTCGTCCTGTTCGTCCTCGTCGTCGTCCTGTTCGTCCTCGTCGTCGTCGTCGTCGTTCTTTGTCGTAATCGTCGTTGTTATCGTCGTCGTCCCCGTTTCGGCCAGCCCGCCGGCTTTGCTCGGCCCGGCCCGGCTGGCAACTCAGGAGGAGGATGAGGAGGAGAGGAGGAGAAAGAGGATGTGGACCAGGAGAACGCGAATAAGAAAATGAATAAACAGGAAGAGGGAATCATACACAAGGGGAAAGCGGAGGACGAGTGGCGAGTATCACCCAGACAGAAAACGAGGAGGGGGAGGAGGAAGAGGGAGTCGTGAGATCCGCTTCGCCCGGGTATACTCACAACTCCCACCTCGGAAACGCTTTGCCTCGCAGTGGTCCCGCCATTTTCGCCTGAGACATCCTCGCAACTCTGGAGTCCGAGACGCCCTGGCCTGAGGTGTTCAGGCCAATTTCGCCTGAGACAGTCTCGCAAGTCTGACTTCGGAGGTGCCCTGCACCATGGTGGTTAGCCTACTTTCGCCTGCGACTTCTCGCAACTCTGGATTTCGGGATGCCCGGAGCTGAGGTGTTCAGACCACTCTTCGCTTGAGACTGCCTCGCAAGGCTGACTTCGGAGATGCCCCGCCCCATAGTGCTCGGGCCAGTTGCGCCTAAGACATCCTCGAAACTCTGACCTCGGAGGTGCTCTATCCCAAGGTGGTCCGGCCACTTCCGCTTGCGACACCCTCGCCACTCTGCGTCCAGGGATGTCCTAAGCTGCGGTTTTCTGGCCACTTTCGCCAGAGCCATCCTCGCAACTTTCGGTTCCGAGGTGCCCTGAGCTGAGGAAATCAGACCACTGTGGCCTGAGACCTCCTCCGAACTCTGACCTTGGAGAAGCCCTGCCCCAAGATGGTCCAGCCACTTCCGCTCTGAGACTTTCTCTCAACTCTACGTTCCAGGGCTCCTTGAGCTGAGGTGTTCGGGCCATTTTCGCTAGAAGCGTTCTCGCAGCTCTGGGTTCCGAGATGCCCTGCCCCATGGTATTCCGCCACTTTCGTTTGAGACATCCTCGCGTCACTGAGTTCCAGTTTGTCCTGAGCTGAGGTGTTCAGGCCGTTTTCGCTTGAGACATTTTCGCAACTCTGAGTTCCGGTATGTCCTGAGCGGAAGTGTTCAGGCCATTTTCGCTTGAGACATCCTCGCACACTGACCTCGGCGATGCATTGTCCCATGGTCATTTGGCCATTTTCGCTTGAGACTCTCGCACCTTTCAGTTGCGAGATGCTCTGAGCAACTGGTCAGGCCACTACCGCCTGAGATACGCATGTGTATGCGAACCCATAGTTATATACATAGACCTATATCTTTTTAATATATATATATATATATATATACATACATATATATATGCATATACCTATACACATATATATATATACACATGGGCGTGCACCGACAAAGCACGTACGAGTTGCATATGCAGGTTCACACCCTTACACACATAAATGTATATGTACATATGTACGCTGTATACACATACAACAATGTAAGTATGGTGTATTCACCTAGACATATACATATATAATCTACGGAACGTGCATGCGCTCGCGCGTGTATACATGCATGCGTTCATGTACGCACGCACGCATTCCGCTTGCGTGCGGAACTCAAAGGACCAAGGTGCATGGCTCGCAGCGCCAATGCAGTCTTGTATATATATATATATACACACACATGCCCGCACCCCACCACTTGATCATATACATTATCCCTTTTTATCCCTTCCGCTGATTCCGAGGAAGAGGAGGCAGTTGGGGGGGAGGGGGAGGTTAGGAAACGGAGAGTGGAGATCGATCGGCGGCCGCGGTAGAGACGAATATGTATGATCATGTGGGGGAGGGGGCGTCCATACATGTATGTTTGAATGGAATAGTATATACATATATACATATATATATATATACATATACATATATACATATATATATATATATATATGTGTATATATGTGTGTGTGTATATAGACGCCGGGGGACAGGGCTGGCCACGGGACAAGGCTTGTGGCGCCCAGGGCGGCCCCTCGACGCGCCATGGGGGCCTTGCGGCCCCCGGGAGCGCGCTCGGATCGCGCCGAGAAGCTGAAGACGCCCCTGTAGACTTGAGTCCGGCCTACAGGAAGAATCTTCAAAAATAATCACAGAATAGTCTGAGGGACGATTTTTGATGTATTGTTGATCATGTTTGAACATGGTTTGACTATTTGTTTGTTTTCCTCCAAACGCCGCCTGTAGGGGGGCCTGCCCGACCTAACCCTGGAAGGCGCCAAGAGAGCTCCAAGAACGGCTTCCTGTTGTTCTCTGCATGCGCACTGCAGCGTTGGGAGCACATGGTTTAAAATTGTCCCCCCAGATTATGTGTTGCAAATGTTCTTGAACGCGCATGACAATATCAAGGGGGAGTGGCAATGAAATGCAGATATCCATATATATATATATATATATATATATATATACATACACAAGACTGCAATGGCGCTTCGCGCCAAGCACCTTGGTCCTTGAAGTTTGGTGTGCAGGCGGACTAGCAGGGAGTTCAAGCCGACAATTTAGCGATAACTCCTTGCCTTTTCCGGCGTCGCCGCTATAATAATGTTATTCGTTTTCCTTCCTCCATGCTTCTTGTTCCTCATTGTCGCCATGCCATGCGCATTCTCCCCATCCTCATCAGCTCTTTTTGCGGAGGCTCCTCCTTGGAGAGCCTCTGGGGGCCTCACAAAAGTTGTTTGAGGCGTTCTAAAGGCCTTCTGGAGGCCTCCTGGGCGTGTTCTGGGGGCCTCTTGGGGCTTCCTCGGGCAACCCTGTCTCCAACCGCGGTCTCCCTAAACGACCCGGTCACGATTTGGAATGCTTCGCAGGGTGTTTTGGGGCCATCTTTGGCCGCCATGGGGCTCTCTGACGGCCATCTTGGACCCCTGTTGTGCCGTTTTGGGGCTCTCTTGGACTACTTGGAAGCCCTTTCGGATGGTTGTGGGGCGTTTTTGGAGCCTCCCAGGCGGCTTCGGACGCCCAGAAGACCGCCGTCTTGGAGCGTCGGGAAGCCGAAAAGAGGAGAACCCCATAATTCACCAAAAACCAACAAAAAATCAATGATGTTTGCCTATTGGGGCCTTCTTGGGAGTGCTCTTGAAGGCCTCTTGGGACGTTTCGGGACGATCTTTGGGGGTATGACGGCTTCTTGGGGGTCGTTGTGGACCGTATTGGGGCTCTCTGGGATCGTTTCGGGAGCGCGCCACGCCTTGCGAGGCCCGGGGTGCCGCTTAGAGACCCGTCTGGAGGGTCCCACAGCCCCAGATCCCGGGAGTCCGGTTTGAGGGGGGGGGTCCCCCCGCCCGGGTTTATAAAGATATAAGAAGAGAAAGGGAGAGAGAGAGAGAGAGATGCGTAAATATAAACCTTCCAAAAACATACATCGTATGCATATATGCAATTGTTTGCGGCAAGTCCCGTCACCGTGCCAGCCCGGGAGGCCGTCACGTGACATGCCGTGCCTCCATGTTTATGAGGGCCGTGATAAGAATAAGCATTTATGAGGATGATGGGAATGGTGACGATGATGGACCGATGATGATTCGGATTATGATGATGACGATGATCATGATGATGATGTTGATGGTGATGGTGATGGTGATGGTGATGATGATGATGATGATGATGATGATGATGAGCATGATGATTATGATGGTAGTGATGATGACGACGACGACGATGATGATGATGATACTGGTGGTGATGATGGTGATGGTGCTGGTGATCGCGATCGCGATGGTGCTGGCGATGGTGATGCTTATGACGATGATGATGCTGATGCTGATGATGTGATGGTGGTGGTGGTGTTGATGATGATGATGATGATGATGATGATGATGGTGCTGATGCTGAGTATGGTGATGATGGGGATGCTGGTGATGATGGTCATGGTGATGGTGATGATGACGACGATGGTGATGATGGTGATGATGATGATGCAGATGATGATGATGATGATGCTGATGATGATGATGATGCTGATTAGGAGAATGATGATGATGATGATGACGATGATCATGATGATGATGATGATGATGATGATAATGGTGACGACAATGGTGATGTTGATGGTGATGGTGATGATGATGATGATGATGAGGAGGAGGAGGAGGCGGGTTAGGGTGAGGATGAGGATTAGGATGAGGATGAGGATGAATCTCGTTTGGGCCATCTTGGGGCTGTCATTGCCTCCTGTGAGGCAGTTTTGGGAGTCCCTTCGGGCCTTCTTGGGCCGTCTTGGGGCCCTCTTGCGCCGGCTTGGGGTTCTCTTGGGCGGTTTGAGGGCTGCATTGGCCGTAATTACGGTGGGTGTATGAGGGCCGTGTTGATGCCGTCCAAGGGCCTTCTAAGGCCGTCCTGGGTCCCACCGGAGGCCCGTTTGGGCCGATTTGGATGATTATTGGGCCATCGTGGAGTCCTCGTGGGCGATCAATGTTTCTGGATTCTTCGGACCCTGTTGGAGGTCCTCTTGTTGCCCTTTTGGGCCCTCTTGGAGGCATCTTAGACCGTCTTGAAGCAAGAGTCGGCCGCCTTGGGGCCATCTTGGGCCGTCTTCGAGAGATCTTGGGCCATCGTAGTGTCCTTGGTTGCCTACACGGGCCGTCTTGGAAGCTCAGGACGCAGACCCATCGTTTTTTAACAAAGGATCGTGGCTTGGGAGGCCCTGGAGCGCTTGGGAGCAGCGCCTGGGAATGGAAATGCGGGGCGTGCATGATCCTCGAGCGAGTGCGCGTGGAAGGAGGAGTCTAGGAGGTAACAGCCATGCTGGAAGTGCGCAATCCTCGAGCGGACGCACATGGAATGAGGGTTCAGGCATTAGCTGACATGCGAGAAGTGCACCATCCTCGAGCGGGTATGTGTGGAAGAGGGAGTTAGACATGAGCTGCCACTCGAGAAGTGTACCATCCTCGAGCGGGCACGCGTGGAAGAGGGAGTTAGGCATGAGCTGCCATTCGAGAAGTGCACCATGCTCGAGCGGGCACGCGTGGAATGAGGGTTCAGGTATTAGCTGCCATGCAGAAAGTGCACCATCCTTGAGCGGGCACGCGTGCCAGGGGCTTTCAGGCATTAGCTGTCATGTGGAAAGTGCACCATCCTAGAGCGGGCACGCGTGGAAGGGTGGTGCAGGCATGAGCTGCCATGTGGGAAGTGCACCATCCTCGAGCGGGCACGCTTGGAAGCGGGGTTCAGGCATTGGCTACCATGCGGGAAGTAGCGCACCATTCTCAAGCAGGCACGCGTGGAAGGAGGGTTCAGGCATGAGCTGCAACGCTGGAAGCGCACCATTCTCGAGACGGCACGAGGGTAGTGGCCTCGGTGAGTAGGGTGGATGCACGCAGGAGTCTGCTGGTAGAGCGAGGAGCGGTCCCTTATTAGAGCTCCAGAGCCTTACCAGACAGGCCTTGGCATTATTTCACGCCTCAACATGCCAGGGGGCACGGTGACGGATCTGAGTGTACATATTTCTACACATGTACATATACACACATACAGATAGATGTGTATGTATCTGTATCCTAACATACATTCGTACATACATACATACATACATACATACATACATACATACATACATACATACATACATACATACATACATACATACATACATACATACATACATACATACATACATACATAATATACGTACACATATATCCGGAGCTCACGGCAGGAGTCTGCGCCAAGAGTCTCAGGGTCGACGTAACGCGACCCGCGCCCAGCGCTGCGCCACCCCAGCGCCCCACAGCGCCGACCGCTGGAGCGCGCATGTCTCGTGGAGCGACGAGGCCGGCCCTGTCGGAGGGGCCCCACATGCGGACCTCACCCGAATTCGCCCTCGGTGGCCAACCTCCGAGCGGACCTTTGCCGTGCACGCAGCTGCCAGGCCTTCGCAGGCGCCCTCGGGGTGTAAGTCGGGCCTGTCCCTCTACAGGAGGGATACTCAAAAATAGTGAAAGAATAGTCTGGGGACGATTTTTCTAGTATATTTGATCATGCTGGTTATTTAGGGGGTATTTTTTGTTCGTCCAAAATCCGCCTGTAGGGGGACATGACATGCCCGACCTAACACTGGGCGGAGATCGCCGTCTCCCGCCCACCTGTCTGGGGCCGGTTCACTCGCGCTCCAATTTGTCTGACATGTATCAGGGGCAACGTTAGGGGATGATAGGCTCAGGGGATGATGCATCAACCCCCAATTGCTCGTTGATCGCCGATGGGGGCCTGATAGCCCACCCAGCCCAGGACCGTGCGGATTCGCCATCGGGGGGCCATCGCCGGTCTCTCGGCGATGTACGCCTCTATGAGCCAGCCCCCCCGCCAACGTTCCCCCTTCATGTTATTGCCATGGCTTCGTCTCCCCAGCCACGCGCAGAGGGGGGTGGGGAGAGGGGGGAGGGCTTCTTAGAAGCACCCCTGCTTCTTAGAAGGCGCGAGCCTTCTCTATAGATGTAAGGCCGGCGCCTTCTAAGAAGCAGCCTCCTTCTAAGAAGCCCTCCCCCCTCCCTCCACCCCCTTGTGCGCACCGCCAGCCACCGGCCTGTGACGGCTGGTGGACTGCCGGCTACCAGCCGTGTCCGCCGCCAGCGTGCAGGAGCCGCGCGGCACGCCGGGCCGACAGAAGGAAGCGAAGCGTAGAGCCCGCAGGGTGGGAGGCGCGGCGAGCCCCCACGGGGACAGCGGCACGCTGTGGAGGAGGAGGAGGAGGAGGAGGAGGAGGAGAACGAGGACGAGGAGGAGAAGGAGGAGGAGGACGAGGAGGACGAGGAGGATGTGGAGGGGGAGGAGGAGGAGGAGGAGGAGGAGGAGGAGGAGGAGGAGGAGCAGGAGGAGGAGGAGGAGGAGGAGGAGGGGCAGGAGGAGGAGGAGGAGGAGGAGGAGGAGGAGGGAGGAGGAGGAGGAGGAGGAGGAGGAGGAGGAGGAGGAGGGGGAGGAGGGAGGAGGAGGAGGAGGAGGAGGAGGGGGAGGGGGAGGAGGAGGAGGAGGTGGAAGAGGAGGAGGCAGAGGAGGAGGAGGAGGAGGCCTCGCGTTCGCCTGGGAGCGTCGTGGGGTTATCTTGAGGCCTCCTTGGGCTGTCGGGGGGCCTCTTGCGCTGTTTGGGGCCTCTTCGGCGACCCTGTCGGGACGTCTTGGGGCTCTCTTGGGTCGTCTTGTGGTCCTCCTGTGGCCGTCCTGAGTTCCCTTGCGGTTCGCTTAGGGCCCTCTGGGGCGCCTAGTGGATTCTCCTAGAGGCGTGCTGGGCCGCCATGTACGCTCCGAAGACCGATATTGCGAGCATGCCGAAACAAAAACCTGAGACAAATGATTGTTTGGCTGTGTCGGGGTCTCTTAAGGTCCTCTTGGGGCCCCCTGTGGCCATCTCGGAGGCTGCCTTGGAGGTCTTGGGGGCGTCTTCGGCAATCGATCCGACCCATGTTGATCCTCCTACCCACCTCCCTGTCCCCATCCCCGCCGCCTGTCCTATCCTTCTCACCCTTCCCATCCCTCTCCTCCTCCTCTGCCTCCTCCTCGTCCTTCCATATCCTCTCCTCCTTGTCCTTCCCATATCCTTCTCCTTGTCCTCCAATCGTCCTCGTCTCCCGCGTCCTCCGCTGAAATGAAGGGCGCTTTGGGAACAGGAGGAGCTATGGTTTTCGGGCCGCCCCTTACAACTAATTAGGTCGGAGAGTTTATTCTGGAGGCCAACGCCATTCCGACGACCCACACAAGTAGATATGTGCGGCGCCCAGTGTCATATGTTTTGATTGCCGTTTCCCGTCGTATTTCATGCGTTTGTTTAGCTCTTGCCGGTTTGTCCTCCTTTTCTTTCGCGTCTGTTGCGGGTTTTCTTGAGGGCCTCTTGGAGACCCTGGGCGGCCTCTTGGACCCTCTCCGTGGCTCCCAGGCGTCCGCCTCCTGGGGGGGGCGGGCGCCCCAGCCAGGAACGGGGGGGAGAATCCAGCTGAGGCGGCGTGACGCCCCGCAGGAGGAGGGAGGGAGGGAGGGAGGGAGGTAGAAAGGGAGGAGGGAGGGAGGGAGAAAGGGAGGGAGGGAGGGAGAAAGGGAGGGAGGGAGGAAGGGTGCGCCACCCTGAGGGGGCAGCACGCGGGAGGCGGCACCTGAGCAGGGCACGAACGACTGGCGGGGCAGGGGCCTATACCTGGGGAGGGAGCAGGCCCGCCCCGCGAGTCGTCGCGGGCGCCCAGCGGCACTGCCGGGGCAGGCCCAGAGGCCCTGGGGGCCCTCTCGTGACCTCTTTGGAGCCTCTTGGAAGCATGCCAGGCGTCCTGGGGTGCATCTTCGGGGGAGGGCTCCCAGTGCCCCTTCGAGAGTTCCACATCTTGGGCCTATCGGAGGAGGAGGAGGAGGAGGGGAAGGAGGGGGGGGAGAGGGAAGGGGAGGAGGGGGAGGGGGAGGGGGAGGGGGAGGGGGAGGAGGAGGGGGAGGGGGAGGAGGAGAGGGAAGGGGAGGAGGAGGAGGAGGAGGAGGAGGAGGAGGAGGAGGATTGCCCCTTGGGGCCCTCTTCAGGCTCTCTTGAGGGTCTCATTGGCTGTCTTTGAGGCCTCTTGGGCAGTCTTGGGCTCTCCTGGGCCATCTCCGGACTCTCTCGGGAGCCGTCTTGGGCCAGTCTGGGTGGCTTCTCGGGATGTCTCGGGCTGTCAAGAGACCCGAAGCGGCGCGAATACGAAAGTCAGCCATCAACACATCAATACATGTGGGCCCTCTCTGGGCGTCTTTGGGAGACCATCGTAGACGTTCTGGAGGCCTCCCTGGAGCTGAGCTTCGTCTTGAGCAGCATGGGCATCTTGGAGCAGACCGGGGTTGGCTTTGCAGGCTCCGAGGGCCCAGGGGGAGCCTTGGCGAGTTCCACCACCACCCCGCCGCTAAAGGGATAGGAGGAGGAGGAGGAGGAGGAGGAGGAGAGGAGGAGGAGGAGGAGGAGGAGGATTCCAGGGGAAGGGAGAGAGGAGGAGGGGGACGGCAAAGTGAGCTACACGCCTTCTCGCCCCCAGCAAGCGGGGGTCGGCGGCCTCGTGGCCGAGGCTCGCCGTGGCCAGGAAGGCCCCTTCGCCGCTCATCTGCAGCTCCTCGTGGCAGCACGATGGCTGTGCACTCGACGGAGAGAAAACTGCATAGACACAGAACGTTCGGAGCTCCGCGCGCGGATTTCTTGGATCGGCGCTGGGCCCCCCATCCCTGGCGCGCGGAACGCGCCAGGGTCGGCGCTGGAGGCGCCGCCAAAGGAGCCCAGCGCCGATCCAAGAGTTCCGCGCGGGGCTCCGACAGGTTCTGCTCATACAGCTCCTTCCTGCTGTGCACGTCCCGGTCTCCGGTCCCCGCCCCCTTCGCCCTCCTACCTCCTAGTACCATCCCACCTCGAAAAGTGTTGCACGCACTCTGTGAATAATTATGCCCCTGCCCATGGCAAGCCCCGCTGCCGCGTCCTGGAGGCTCCTAGGAGCCTCTCGAGGTCGACTCGGGGGGGGGCCTCCTGGGGACTTCTGGAGTGCCTGCTGGGGCCTGCTGGGTACATTGGGGACGTCTTGGGCACGATGGCACTGCCGAGCTCTCACGAAGAGGGTTGGTGGAATCGTCCAGGTCCATATGAGCGACGGAACAAAGGGGTTGTTTGCGCCGGCATGCGAGCGCAAGTTGCCCGCGTAAGGTCGCGCGCAAGCGCCCCCGTCTCCACTGTAGCGTGCCGCATTGGTGGCCCGCGTAAGCCGCCGCGTAACGTCGCTACGCCATCTCGCGTAAGACCCGTTTTTGATCGTCGCTCATCTAGCCAGTCATTCGGGCCGTCTTGGAGCCTTGCTCTGGGCGGTCATGGGCCGTCTCGAGGGGCGCCTTGGGGCCTTCTGGGGCCACCCTGCGGTTTTCCGAGACCCTCCTGCGCCACATGCGTGCCAACAGGTGGAGGTGGAAAAAACAAGACTCCTACGGTAGAACCCCACACGATAGTCTTCCCGGCTAGTCTGGAAGTGATCCTCATCGCCCGTCATGTGACTGCGAGGGCTCATTTCTTGTCTCCTCTGCGCCATGATCCGTCCCCGCGTGGCGCAGGCCCTCCTCCCGCCCCCATGCTTTGCCTCCTCCTCCTCGTCCTCCTGCCTTTCCTCCTCCCCCTCCACCGCGTTTTTTGGCGTTGTTGCCGTTTCGATCGGCAGAGGCGCGTTCTCTGATAGCCAGATCGCAAGGCCGTTGGGGCAACCTCGCGAGCCACGCCGTTGGGACAAACCTGCTGGCCGCTGACGCGCGGGACCAAACCGCTTGGGCAAAGAAACTCGCGCGAGGGCGGCCGCAGGATCAGCATGTCCCGCACGCGCGTGGCGCGGGAGAAATGACGTAGACGTGCAGCCACCACTGTTCGTCCGACGTGCCCAGCGGCCACCGTCCTCATCCCCGACACAATCGATGGTGACGCCTTTTGCGCAGCGTCTGACCCTGCGACAGCGTGGAAATGAGGTAGGACGCGTGCGCCAAGGTGCACACCGAGCGGCGCGCGGCCCCGAGCTCTGCCACGTGAGTTCTTCTTCGCTGCGCCTGAACATGAACAAGCATCGCGCCCACGTGTTGGCCGCGCCGTCGTCGTCAGCGCCGTCGGCGCCCTGTAGCACAAGTCCGGCGACCTTTTTGGTAGATCGGGCATTTTTGACGCCACGCACCTGCAGCCAAATTCCTTGCAGTAGCAGGCGGAGGGGGGGAAAAGCTGCCCTGGCCCGCACTGCTCGTGCCGCAGCAAGTCCGCACACCATACGGAGGTGGGTTCCCGCTCAAGACTTTTTCACCATTCGCTCACATACGAGGCTCCTGCCCGAGATTTCCATCAGATCCACGCCCCAGGTCCCAAAAGTGACGACAATTACACGATGTGGATGATTCTCTCGGATTGCTAACATGGTCAGGCGGCCCCATATGGAGGGGGCTCCCGCCTGAAATCTCCTGTTAACCCATTTACAGATCATGTTTCTTTTCGCGACTTCCAGATCCACGCCTCAGGAGCCCGAAAATGACGACAGTTGCAGGATCTAGATGACCATTTTGGATTACGAGCATGGTCTGGCGGCCCTGGCTGCACTTCCATACAAGTCATTCGCGAACGATGCTGACGCCCGAAAGTTCCTCCAGGTTCCCTTCGGGAGCCCAAGAGCGACGACAGCTACATCATTTGGTTGGTCTGTCCGGATCACGAATGTGATTTGGCGGCCCCATGAAGGATGGGTCACGCTTAAGAGTTCTTGGGAATTCACCCACTGACGAGGCTCCCGAACATGATTTTTTCCAGATCCACGCACAAATGACCACGGGTACACGATCAGGATGACCCGCTCGGATTGCTAACATGATCAGGCGGCCCGATACGGAGGTGGGTTCCCGCTCGGGATTTCCTCGCACGTCATTCACCGACGAAGCTTTCGCCCGAGGTTTTCGCCAGATCCACGCTTCAGGAGCCCACAAGTGACGACATTTGCAAAACCTGGATAATTCACTCGGATTATTAACGTTATGTGGTGGCCCCACATGAAGGTGGGTTCCCGCCTGGGACGCTGTCGCAGTCTACTCACAGGCGAGGCTCCCGCCCTTGACATCCTCAAACATGAATGTGCGATTGTGTGCGCGCGAGCGGGTGTGGTAATCAGCGGGTGAACACGCGTGGGATGATGATGGTGGTGGTGGCGATGGCGTGTGTATGGGTGATGGGAGTGGCGATTATGTTGTTATCCAGGTGGTGTTGGTGACGACAATGATGACGCCGGTGATGGTGGTGATGATGTTGGTGCTGATGATGGTTATGATGCTGAGGCTGTTGGTGTTAATGTTGGTGATGGTGTTGCTGATGATGTTGGTGATGTTGGTGATGGTGATGATGGTGATGGCGGTGGTGATGGTGATGGTGGGGGTGCTTGTGATATGGTGATAACGACGATTGCAGGAGAATGGTTATGCGGATGATGATGATGAGGACGGGGATGACGGTGATGATGACGATGATGAGTATGTTCATGGTGGCGGCGATGCTGATGATGATGATAGTGATGGCAATGATGAGTGATATTTCTGTGGCGCTCACGCTGATGATGCCCCGTAGCCATGCTGGCCAAAGGTTTTGGGTTTGCGAGAGCAGTCTTCAGAGCGGCAATCGTTCTCGCGGATCTGTTTGGTTCGGTGCCATTCTGTTTGAGGGGTTTCAACCCGCGCGAGAGCTCCTGCCGGAGCATGTTTTACCTTTCCCGGCTCTTCACGGGCCACCCATACATGGCGGAGGCGGCGGTGGAGAGGTCCTGGCGGGCCCCCGCACTCCCACTTGGATACGCAGCCTGCGTGGTAGGAGCACGGATTGGGCTTCCAGGACTTCGAAACTGCTGCGAGAAGGCACCACCCGATGTTGCTCGCCGTGCTCGCGAGCGCCCTGCTGCTGCCGGACGCGAGAGCGCCCCCTCTCAGCGCGAGGAGCGTGCACATGGAGGAAGTGACCTTTTACAGCAGAACCTGGATGCGTTGCAAAAGAGGTTTGGCGCCACGGTGGCGAAAGGCTGCGGGAACTGTTCAGCACCCACGCCCCCCGCGGCATCTGACCCAAAGGAGCTGTCGGCGTCCGACAAGCTCAAGGAGCATATCAAGCAGCTCGAGGTTCCCCTTGTTTCGTGCAAAAGTCTACCAGGTGATATTGGAAAAGATGCGTGCGACTAGTTGGATAAGCAGCTGGCCGAAGCTAAGAGATTGCGGGCCGCGACCAAAACTGAGCTTACACAACATGCGAACATCAGATATCGCCACGGGGGCCACGGCAAAGAAAGCCAGACTCGAGCAGAACGTGTCCGAGCAGCTGGAGCTCGCGGTCGCGGCGGAGGAAAATATCGACCGATTGCGAGCGCAGATCGAAACCAATGATGAAGAGACTGCTGTGCTTAATCGCGAGCTGGTCTCCACTTTGCCTCTGGCCCCCGCGGTGTCTTTGGACGTGGATCCCAATGACCTCGACAGGCACCCTCAGAAGGAGTCGCTCAAGGCCTTCATGGAGTCTGACGTTTCCAAGGTGTTCGCCGAGGTTTGCGGCGAGAGCATCAGGGTCAAGGAAGCACCCAAGCCTGCTGCCTCTTCCCTCGCGCCAGGCAGCGCCAGCGGTGCCCCTCCTGGCCCTGGCGATGGTAGCGGGGGACATGGTTCAGACGAGCGGTTCAGTGGCGAGTCCATCAGCGCCCCCGACGATCAAGAGATCGATACCACCGTTGATTCCACGATCGCAGCCGTCAAGGAGGACGCGCCTTTTTGCGGCGCGTCAAGCAGCGAGGTCAGCCAGCGCGCGCCTCCTCGTTGTAGTCTTAGGCTGTCTAAATTCGGAGTGCCTGCCCCCCCCCCCCCCCCCCCCCCCCCCGCCCCCCCCCCCTTTCCCCCTCCCGTCCTCAGAGCATGCTGGCCAGGACAACTGCTTTGAAACATGCAGTGGCAACACCTGGCCGACTCCCCCGCGCACGTATCCGAGAGTCTCGATCGAGCATCTCGCTGGCGCAGGAGATCGGCCCCACCCTGGACCGCGAGGGGAAAAAGGGATAGCTCTGCGGCGGCTTCCGGATGGAAAATGCTAACCCCCCATCCCTCCCAGGCGAGGCCGGCCTGGCCAGGGCGGCGGCGGCGGTCTTCGCGCGCTCTCACTTCGGCCTTCGTTAGCCCGCGGATTCGCCGGGTACCTTGCGCCCTGGTCGCCTGATTCACGCGGTCGTCGACACCCCTGGGCGGCCCCCTCTCCATGCGCCACGCGGGCACCTGAAGAGCGGCACGGGGATGCGCGAGCATAACATTCGGCCCCTTGGGCTTATCGGCGAGAGACTTGAGTTTGAGCGCATGTTTTTGGTCGGCTGCGACTGGAACCTCGGGCTCAACCTGGTCGACGGTTCGGGCGCGCGAAGTCGCGCTGGCGGAGCCTTGTTCGCTCCGAGCCAGAGAGCGCGCCTTTCCCGCGCCAGCCTGACCACGATCGATTGCGCCATGGTTAGTTCGAGCTTGGCCAGGGCTTGCGGAGGGGCCCAGGCTGTCATGGATTGGACCCATAGACCTCCTCGCCCTACCTTCAGAACCTCTGGACCAATGCGTTTCGCTGCTACCAGCTCACCCACCGAGCCCATCAGCGCACGCCCACTTCCGCGCCAGCACGACCGCCGCCGAAGCCACAGGACTGGGCCGCGCCGCGTGCAGTGGCTAAAGCAGCGGCCGAGGCGGCCCCCTCAGCACCCGTTGCACGGCCTCGGGAGCCCCCCACAGCGGCATGGCGCTACTCCGCCAACGACTTCGAGCTGGAGCTCAAGCTGCACTGGAGAGGAGGCGCGCTGCAAAAGTTGTCGCAGAGGCTTTCTCAAACCAAAGTGGGCCCCCATGTTTGCTGGGCCGTGGGCCACATGGGGGCCCGAGCTGAGCGGTGCGCTTGGATTTGGCTGGCTCGGCACCTCGGCAACGATCGGGGCCGCTGAGAGGCCGAACAAAGCGGCTACCCAAGCCGCCGTGGACCCTGACGCTTTTGTTGACCGCGCAGCCCATGAGCAGTTGAGCCGGGATGCCCAGCGCGAGCTGCCCCAAGCTCGGCGGGCCCTCCTGCGCTACCAGCCCCCCAGGCACCGCGGGCGCCCCCTCCAGGCCGAGCTTGCTATCCTCGGGGGCCCCACGTGGCGCGCGGCCGCGGCCCCCGTGCTCGCGCGGGCGGGATTTGTTTGGGGGGGCCCCACCTGTCCAAGCGTTTCTACGCGCGTGGTTCAAGAGCCGCGCATTATTTGGCGCAGCGCCCCGTTTGATGATCAGGTCTCTCGGCGAAACCCGCGGGACCCAATGCAGCGCGCGCACCTCTGCCTCCGCCTCTCGGGGCGGCCGTCTTCGTCGGCGCTGGCGCTTCAGGGCGATAGGGGGCCAAGAAATCCACTTGGGCTACACCTCTCGCCCCTTGCTGGCCCACTTGCCCGACCTCGCCACTCAACGTCAGCGCGGGGGAGATTTGGCGGAGAATGCGCACGGTTGTAGCGGGGCCCGCGACCGCGTGGACCCGCCCGCACAAAGCCCTCGGACCGCAGGGAAAAATGCGTTAGCCCTCGGGCAAAGCATCTGGCTCCCACGACTTGTTGCACGGTCGCGCGGGCACGCGCCCGAGCCCGAGCGCGCGCGCGCGCGCCAAGCCGACGGACGGCCTGGGCCCACTCCGCGGGCAACCAGGCGGGGCCCGTCACCGCCCACGGCAGCGCGCGCACCCCGCGGCCGCACAGGCGCGCGCCGAAGCACTCGAGGGGGCGCCGCCAGACTGGCATAACGCAGCCCTCGAGAGCAAGGAGAGGCTCTTCCTCGATGGCACGAAGTGGGAACATCCCGGAGCCCCCCCCCCCCCCATCCACCGATCCGAATCCGACGCTGCATGACGCTGCGGGCGCGGCTTCGCCCTGGGATTCCGTTGACCTGCGGGGGCTGGATGCGTGCATCGATGGGTCGGCGATGCGCCGCTGCATTAGAGCTTTCTCTGGCCTCCGAGTCCTGGACCTTCCCTGGGCCGAGGGTCGATGACGCGGTTGCTGCTGCGCGAAGGGTTTTCTTGGACACTCGACCGCAAACGTCTCAGGCCGCCGAACACCATGCGATGACTGACCCTCCTTCCGATGTTCCAGAAGTGCGGGCGTAGCAGGCACGGGGACAGCATGGCGGTAGTGAAGTTGTGCGGCGCAGACGCGGCTCACCAAGTTCCACGCAAACACCGCCATAAAGGTTCGCGGCGCGGATCGCTGTTGCATGAGACTCGCGGGCACGGGGCTGCCGCTCAACGCGCACTTGCCCACCGCTCTCGGAACGATATCGCTGCACTTGTCGACGACGCTCGCCGCATCGGCTTGGGAAATTGGCATGCGAATGTCCAGGCTAAGCAGGCCCCGCGCACCCACCCCCGGCGTTCCTCGCTCGAAATGGCCGAGGTGGGCAGAAGATGTATGCTACTACGTATCATTGCACGTGTGCGTGGTGCAGGTTTGGCTGTTTTCCCACAGGACAGATTCGAGCGTTCGAGCGTGGGGCCCAGGGTCAAGTTCTCGAAAAGCAGAGGTTGGCACTCGTGGCAGGATTTGGAGCACGGTCGAGCCAGATGCCCGCATTGCCTTTCCTTCTGGACTGGCCCAGCATCCAGGCCAATGCTCGGGTGCAAAGACATGAGTCTGACCTGGCGCACGCTTTGGGCCCATTCCCTTGGGCACACCCTAGCGCATTGCCGCGTGCTCAGAGGGGGGCGTCGAGAATATGTTGTTGCTTTGCATGGTGTGCGGAGCATACACTTCGAGCCGCTGTCGCAAGCTAGGCCGCGAATGCCCTCGGCACAAACTAGCAGGTGCGCACACTGTTCTTCGGCGCATTTACACAGGATTGCATCCCCCGTATCGGGACAATTCGACTCGCACGAGCAGTTCCCGAAGAGGAATTCCCTTCTTGAGCTATGCCTCAGCACAACCACCGCCTGTGGAGGTCGGTGGCACGGCCGTGGCAAGCTCTGGCATCATTTCCACGACAGGGATGGTGGCGCTTCTGGCACGTGTTCAGGCCCGCGAGGCCGTGGCGGCGCCGACCGCTCCAGGTGGGGGCGACCCGTACCACGGTCGAGCCCCGCGATGGGGAGGAAACACCGCGGCCTAAACAGCCGCGGCTCGTCCCCTACCAAGGGGCGGGTCCTTGGGGCACGAGGGACCCCCCCCGCGTCGGGAGCATGGGGCCCGCCACGGCCGAGCGGGCCGCCGTGCGGCCAGATGGTTTCACAGTTGGCTCGGTGCCCGTGGGAAGCCTTCGCCCCACTGAGCGAGCAGCAGGGTTGCGTGGATCTTCCTTGTGACCGATTGGTCCAAGGCGTCGATCCCTCCGATCTAGAGGCGGACGAGGAGGCAGATAGTTTCCTCTTCTCTCCTCCCGTTGCTGCCGCCATGTCGGCGGCGCCGGCTCCCTCCGCAACGCCGCAGGGGGCGACTGTTTCGCAGAGCGTCCGAGCCCCCCTCGCCCATGGAGAGGCCGAGGGGCCGCTGATCGCAGCGGTTGTCGAGGGTTCGGACGACTCAGATTGGCTGCCTCGTGCAACTCGGTCACGCCCTCAGGGGACCAATGGCAAAAAATTGGGGATGATGGTGGCGGTGATGCTGATGGGGGGGGTCCTGCTGGTGTTCCTGCTCCTGCGCGGGGTGTCCTGAGAAAAGGGTCCCGCTTCGGATGCGGGGGACAACAGATCTTGCTGGCCCCCAGAGCCTGGCTGGAGGGCTCCCAGGGGGCATTCGCGGAGCCCTCCAGGTTGAATGTTGGGCCATCTTCGGCGAGTCCCGACGGGGGCATCTCGCAGCAGTCTTGGGTCGCCTTGAGGCCACTTGCGGCGAACACCGAGAGCAGTACAAACATAAACTTTCGGAGCTCAGCGCGTACTTGTTGGATTGGCGCTGGACCCCCTCTCCCTTCCTGGCGCGCAAGGCGCCGCCAGGGGGTTCAGCGCCGATCCAGGAAATCCATGCGGACCTCCGAAAGTGCATGTCCATGCTACTTTATCTATTTGAAGGGCACTCACCGCACATTGACTTTTGCCGTGCCTCGCGACTCCAGGCGCGCTCCACGCTCTTGGAAGGGGAGTCAGCACCGATCCAAGAAAGCCACGCGGACTTCCGAAGTCGTATGTTTACGCAGCTTGCAATTATTGCGAAGGCCATACTGCCGGTGCCGCCTACCCTGAAGGGGGACGACGACGACGACGACGACGACGACGACGACGACGACGACGACGACGACGACGACGACGACGACGACGACGACGACGACGACGACGACGGCGGCGGCGGCGGCGGCGGCGGCGGCGGCGGCGGCGGCGGCGGCGGCGGCGGCGACGCTAGCGTCCGTCAGAGTCCCCACCGATGTTTCTTGGAGTCTCTTCGGGGCCTCGGGGCTTCCTGGGGACATCCTGAGCCACTTGGGGCCTCTCAGGGGCCTGTTGGGGGCCTCCCAGGAGCCTCTCGGGGCCGAAGGCTCGAAATGTCCGCTCGGTTCCCGTCTGTGCGCCCTCGTGGAGCTCTCTCAGGGCCTCTTGAGCCGTCTTGTAGGCGTCTTGGGCCATCTTGGAACCCTCTTGGGTCGTTTCCTTCTTGGAGGCCTCTTGGGGCGATCTCGGGAGCTTCCTGGGCCTTCTTGGAGCGTCGGGAAGCCAAAAGATGAGAACGCCCAAATCTGTCAAAAACCAAATGAGAATCAATGAAGTTTGCCTCTTGAGGCGCTCTTGGGAGTGCTCGTGTAGGCCTCTTGGAGCATCTTGGGGGCCCCTTGGGCCGTCTGGAGGCTATCTTGGGCGTCTTGGACCGATCGTTCGGCGATTCGGGGCCCTATGGGAACGTCTTGGGCCTTGGGGGCCTATTGGGGCACTCTTGGCCAGTCTTGGAGCCTTTTTGGGCTCCAGGACCGTCCAAGGGGGATGGCATTCTGACCCACCCAGGACCAAACACACACACACACACACACACACCGGACCCCCTTCAACACACACCCTGCCTGGACCCCCCCCCCGCCCCGGCCCCGGCAGGGAAGGGACCAAAGGGAAGGGGCTTCTCTCGATTCAACTACGACGTTGCTCAATTTTCCATTTGGCTGGCGCGCTGCGCGTGAGGAGGAGGGCTCAGGGAAAGGGGGGGGAGCGGCGACGGCGGCGACGACGACAACGACGAGTCAAACGAGACAGCGTCTCGCACGCGACGACAGGGTCGGCGGAGTTAGCTTCTTGTTCTTCTTGGGGCAGTGAATCGCGCTGAGGACGAACTCGTCGCAGGATGTTTTTTTTGTAGAGGGCGATGCGAGGAGGCGGGGCCGCCATCGGGAAACCACAGAAGCCGCAGCAGACAGCCAGCAGGCACTCCTAGCACAGCCCGACGCGCCGAGGACACGGTGGCGAGGATCGGGTTAAGTCGTGCCTGTCCCCCTACAGGGGGATTTTCGACGAAAAAGTAAAGATACCCCAAAAATAGTCAAAAAAAAATAGTCCAAAAATAGTCTGGGGACTATTCTTTGAGTATGGTTTTAACTTTTTGGTGTATTTTGGAATATTTCTTATTGCTCGTCGAAAATCCCCCTGTAGGGGAACACGCCCGACTTCATGATCGGGGAAGAGTCGGGCCAGACGAAAGGGGGGGATTGGGAAAGGGGGGGTACGAAATCTGCTGCATGCAGCTGGTTTCGGCCACACCGAGGGGCCCATTCCTCGACACATGGCCGCCTCCGGAGCGTGAGCTGATTCTGAAACGCCCCCTTTGCTATCCCCCCCTTTCGCCCGACCCGAAAAAGGGGGAGAACAGCTTCTGCTTGCAGAACATTGTGACAGTTTCAGAGTGTTTGGCCGATGCCGTAATTGCCACCACACAGAGGTCACAGCACAAGCCGTGCGCACCTGATTACGCGGATGGCACATCCTTTGCCAATAAGTTGCCGAATTGTGCGAAGAATCACTTCACTTAGCTTTTCATCAGGTGGTGATAGCAACCAACGGCAAACAAACGTAATGATCGCAACCAACGGCAAAAAACAAGAACGGCAACCTTGCGGTAAGGGGGAGTCTAAGAAGCTCGGTTCCAGCAACCAACCGCGACGCAGTCAGAGTTGCGAGACGATCTTTACTTACTGCTATGGTGTTTCTCACCACGCTGCGGTGTGCCACTGGGGTAGTTCAGATTAGTGCAGATCCGTCACTTCTTCTCTTTGTGAGTTTGTTATCGCGGCCCCGTGGGCAGGCATCGGATTGCAGCCTGGTTTGGTTTGTCCGTAGCCCATCTGGACTCGAAATAAGAAAAGATGACCGCTTTCCGTGCCGCGCAAAGTGTACACGCGCTCATTGGCGGCTGGGCGCTGCGCGAAATACGCTCGGTGCGCAGGTTTGCTTGGGGGTCTGGCGTTGCTGGCCTGGGCAAGGCGGACATCCTCGGCAAGTTCGAGCAAAAGCAGGCGGCGGATCGGCGGGAGGAGAGGGCGTCTGCCTACCTGGAGTCGCGAGGCACGGCGAAAACCACCGTTGGCGGTAAAGGCTATCCGAAGAGGAGACATCGGCACGGGCATAAATTTTCGGAGGGGCCCGCGCGGGTTCCTTGGATCAGCGCTCTGGCGGCGCCTCCGGCGCCGCCCCGGAAGCGCTCCGCGCGCCAGGGAGAGGGGGGGGGCCTGGCGCCGGTCCGAGAGATCCACAGTCACCTCCGAAAGCTTCGGCTCGTGCCGGTCCCTCCTCCTCCGGCCGTGTGCCTCCACTCGCCCGCGGCGACGTCGGCGGCGCGGCCGACCGCGCGGCGGTGGTCGGCGGTGCACGGGCGGAGCAGTCGATCCGGGCGTGGCTGGAGGCGGGAGGGGACAGGAGCCTGGAGGGCCGCGGCGCGCCCCTGGCCGAGAGGGACGAGGACCGCCAGATGTTCACGTCCGACGCGGGCGAGCGCGCACTCACCCGCGCGCTGAAGGATGCGGGCATCCGGCCCGCGAGCATCGAGGCGGCGGAGGAGCTGCGGAGGGCCGAGGAGCGCGTCGTGGCCGGCCTAAGGTACGCGCTGCGGAAGGACAGGGGTGCCAGCACGCTGGACCTGGAGGATGCGGTGCGGATGGCCCGCGAGCACTGCGCGCAGCTGGTCAAGCAGTACAACTCCGCCCTGCTCCTCGACAAGGAGACCTTCGGAGGCAGCTGGCCTCTGCAGCAGCGGAAGCAGCGCTCGATCGAGGAGGAGATCGGGCTCGCGCGCGCCTAGGACGTTTTTGTTCTTCGGCGGCGAGGCGGGGCAATCCGCTCGAGCGCGGCAGCGATGCAGGGGCACTACAAAGCGAGCTGGCCGGCATGCAAGAGGGGGGAGGAGGACAGGCCAGGGCGGCCGCGGGGGAGAGAGGAAGGCGAGCACTCGGAGGCGGAAGACGCAGCGCGCCTAGGACATGCGGAGCTCAGAGGTCGTGCAGGCGGCCAGATGTCTTCAGGCGCGGCCGCGAGTGGCCAATTCACGCCCCTGGTCGCTCGCGGTTATCTGCCCCGTCGCCCCAGAGTTCCGACGTCCTGATTGCTTCACACTCAGGACCCCCCCAGGGGTCTCGACACCTTCCCCAGGGCCAGCGGTTCATCCTGAGTCGCTCTTTAACAAACCCCGGGGGGCCAGTGAGAAGCCCCAGGAGCCCGGAGATGTCCAAAACGTTGCCGTCGGTGGAGGGGGCGTTGGAGCAGTTGTCATGGTTCAGGGACGCAGCCTAATGGGCGTGCCAGTTTCTTTTGCGGAGGGCGATCATGTAATTACGTATTGCCCAACGAATGATATCTGTTTCCTCTTCCGCCTGACGCTGCTCGGCCCTACAGGTGGCTGAAACCAGCAGCTCGGCGTTGAGCATCGTGGGACGTCGAACCCCTCATGACTTGTTCGCAGCGCGAGGAGGTCTGGGTCGTATTCCTCCCCGCCCTCCCTTGGCCTCCTGCACCCGCGCTCTCCTCGTCCTCCCTCCTCGCCGTCTTCATCCGCCCCATCGCCTCCCCGCCTCGAACCTCTGCCCCCTCCGAGGGCCTCTGGGACTCCGCGCCTCCGAGGCCGCCGTCGCGGCCGCCGCCGTCGACGCCGCCGCGCAGCCGTCGCGGCGGCCGACGACGACGACGACGACGACGACGACGACGACGACGACGACGACGGCGACGGCGACGACGACGACGCCGACGACGCCGACGTCGGTCGCCGCCACGGCGGCAAGCACGGCGGCCGCGCGGCGGCGGCCGCGCGCGGGCGGCGCGCCGCGGGCGGCGCGCCGCGGGCAGGCCTCCGGCCCGCGCTGCTGTGGCTCGCCTGCGCCGCCGTCGGCGCCGCCGCCCTGGCCGCCGCACGGGCGGGGCCCGGCGGCGCAGCGCCGTGGCCAGCGCCAACGCCACTCGGGCGAGCTCTCGGCGGGCGACGACGACGACGACGACGACGACGACGACGACGACGAACACGACGAACACGACGAACACGACGAACACGACTGCGACCATGACCGCGACCGCGACCACGACCACGACCACGACCACGACCACGACGATGACCACGGCCACGACCACGACGACGACCATGGCCACGACGACGACGACGACGCGCCAGGCCTTCGACCCTTCGGCGGCCCTTCCGCGGGCCCTGCGGCGGCCCCTCGGCGGACATGCCCCTCGGCAATCCCTCAGCGGGCGCCTGGGCGGCCTCTCGGCGGCCCTTCGGCGGCCCCACGGCGGCTCGGCGGCCTCCGTCGGCCTGCGCCGCGCGTCGTCGCCATGATTGTGGTCTTCGTCCTCGTCGTCATCGTCCTCGTCGCTGTCGCCGCCGCCGCCGCCGTCGTCGTGGTCGAAGTCGTCGTCGTCGTCG